TTTCTTCAAATGCTTAAGCATTCTATATCACAACTTAAATTGGACACCAGTGGCTACTCTGATCATAGCTTTTGCAGGGGTGAGGCTACATTCGCTTTGGAATGTGGAGTTTCGTCTGACCTCATCCAGGCTCGGGGGGACTGGAAAAGTGAGGCATACAAAGGTTACTTAGACCCTTCCTTTTCTCATAAACAGCAAGTCATGAATGCATTTGCGTCAGCCCTTAGTCAATAGCGTCCTTCTGATGCATGAACCTAATTTTACTACTTTTACACAGGTTTGGGATTATTTTTGGAGTACCACAGTTTTTCAACTTGATTTTGCTTTCTTTGTAAATATGTTTATTGTTTATTTGTACTTTTATACAATAACCAGTTGGCATATGTCTTGGTCCCTTTACTTAACTCTAATAAGTGTAAAGTAAGTGCCTTTATCTGCACTGTATCTCTTCAGCATTTGGTTTGGGCACCAAAGGGATAGCCAACTAGTTATTGGTACCACTGGTCTTATTCATCAAAATCAAATAAGGGAGGATCTGGGAGGGGCAAGTTTTGTGGATTAATGGAACTATTATATATAAATAGATTATTAAGACACAATACGTTTTGGAATGCTGTACATAAGTTATGCAGGGGTCCTCAAGTGTTCAGATTATTATCCAATCAGCAAGGGGGTTTCCCAGTCACTTCTGCATGTGCTTCTCGTTTTCTAATTGTTTTGCGAGATCATACTAATTAACCAATGAGATTGCTCATTAATTTTGAATTAACCAATCAATACTTATTTAGCAGGGCTTTTGTTTTAAACATGCACGCTTAATTGTTCTTAAAGCAGCGCTTGCTTGTAGCAGTCATTTTAAATTTTTTCGGGAAAATATTTTCTTCCCGCCCACCTCTCCCTAGTGGACATTTATTTTTGTTTGCTATATACATATATTACAGATATTGCTGCATTAGTAGAGTCAGCTTTGCTATTTTATATTAGTAGAGTAGTAATGTTTCAAAGAACTCACAGTTTTTATGTACTTTTTGTATTGAGTACCACAGTTTTTCAACTTGATTTTGCTTTCTTTGTAAATATGTTTATTGCTTATTGATATGCAAAGAAAATATTAAACTGAGATTCTTCTCCCAAACCTGTGTTTGTTCAGTTTGTACTTTTATACAATAACCAGTTGGCATATGTCTTGGTCCCTTTACTTAACTCTAATTATTGTAAATCAAGTGCCTTTATCTGCACTGTATCTCTTCAGCATTTGGTTTGGGCACCAAAGGGATAGCCAACCAGTTATTGGTACCACTGGCCTTATTCATCAACATCAAATAAGGGAGGATCTGGGCGGGACAAGTTCTGTGGACTTATTGAATAAAAGAGTCACATCAGCAAGTCTTGCTACAAACAAACTTATTTTCATATTTAGAAAATGAAACATTCTCTCTCAATATTGACTATTTTGTCAAAAATTATCAAAATTTAGCAGATTTTTCATTGACCGTCTCATATAAAATTGCACATTACAGACAACCTATGACTTTTAAGTACAAAACTAGGACTGTTTGACCCTAACTATATATCAAGTTTACCACAGAATTGATAAGATTTATTGATAGTTATATTTCGTGGTACAAAATTGCCTTTTTGCATCATTTTGTTTGTTTGGTATCAAATTACGCACACTTTTTACAGTTAAAATGATAATAAATAAGGGTCAACTGTACTTTTAATGAAAAAAAAAATGTAATAAAACTGCACTATCTAACATGTATAACACTGCATGTCGTATAAAACATCTTTGCAGCCAATATTATGAAGTTTAAACTAATTATCTGCTCAGACTATGGAAAATCATGTATTTCTTTAATATAATTACATAATAGCCTGTAATATGACACCAATATGATAAATATAAAAAAAATATTTCTAATTCTTTAATATTTTGTTAAGGTCTAACAAATAAACCACAATTTGAAGATTTGTGTTGCTTAATTCCTTCAGGTGTACCTTACCATTGACAGGAACGTGGACCAAATTATTTCTCCCTTTACTTCAATGCAATTTTTTCTAAATTGAGGGGCAGATTTTTTATTCCCTATATTAGACTGAAAAATTTAAATTACTTTCTCATACTAGTACCCCCTTCATGGTTTCTGGGAAAATTCTTGGAAGGTCATGACCGGCATTTAAGAGAGCAATACTGTTTTGAGTATTAATAGGGTCCTTTTATTAACTTCCTGGTTAAAATCGAAAATAAAATTTGGACCATTTACTCAGACAATCATCCACCCTATACATTTCAGAATCACTGAAAATTTAACAGAAGTTGAAAGTGTAATGAATACTCTTTAAATATACTACAAATTCAATCATCTTAACATAATATTCATCTCGGTACAATATCCCATTTAATAGATGGTGGATTTATTAAGGGACTTCATTCGTGGGTACTAGACTGGTATCCTGTAACTGGGATCCTATTCCAAAAGACAAGCCACAGAATATGAATTTTCATAGTAGCAATGAACATTTGCAGAATGCATCAGCCAATCAGACATCTGTACATCTTGTAAATGATACGAATAAGAAGGAAGAGGACACCACAATACTACACTCTTCATCAGCCGAAGTACGCAACCATGTAATTTTAAAAACTGTCGTAGCACCCGCATGGTCAGACCACTTATGTAGAGATACACATATACTTTTTAATGAGGGAGCACAGAGATCATTTGTAACAGGAGTAATGGGACAAAAACGTACGACACTTAGAAAAACCAACAGTATAATATGTAGAAACAGACACCAGACAAAGAATACCTATAAATGTTCTGATCGTACCTATGATTGCCATACCATTACAGAACAATATTTGCCACATTAGCAGAAGACTGAACTATTTGCGGGGACTAAAGCTAGCATGTCCGGTTTGACAGCAAGAGTCGTTTGAAATATCATTATTGATTTGAGGAGACTTATTGGGATATAGTCGAGGATGAAGTAGTACGAGGAAATGATCCAACCGCCGTTAAGTCAAAATTAGGCTACTTACTTTTCGGTCCAATGAGTGACAAGAGAGAAAACTCGTTGATAGATACCATCATATTTAACATTTTTGTTTCGCACAAAACAAAAGAACTTGAAATTAAAATGTCTCTAAAGTATGAAGACGCAACGCACAGAAGTACTCTACCGAAACGAGTAGCGAGTGTGAAGGTCCGGAAAAAGATAAGGAAGTGGATAGCCAATGTAGATGAATATGATGAATATGATGAACAAGACTAACAATTGTAAAAAGACTTTCGTGGTCAATTCAACATTTTCTTTTATGTGAACAAGAAATTTGTCAATTTAGTACATTAGACGTTTTAATTTAATTTATTTTCAAATATGGACATCAAATATGAAATAGTGATAAGTATGTCGAGATTGTTGCGGGATGAAAACGTTCTTCAGTTTGCACTTTACCACTGTCGACGTCGGCGACTACAGTTACATCACCATGGGTGCTTATTAGTTGTTTTTAAAAGATATGACCGAACAGATGTGTTTACATATCTTAGCGTAAATTGCTACAGTTGTAAACTCTACAAACGGTATGGAAATTTTTTTATCCTTTCTTATTAGCCATATTTAAGTATTAGTGAACTCCGGTTTATCTTAAATAAGATACACAGTATATTTAAGCTGGCTCGGGTGTCTTCCTCCATCTTGAATTTCGAAGTAGCAATTAACGTTGGTCTAGATATTTCATGAAATGTGCAAATTTTGAGAGTAGTATGTAATTTATGTAAAAGATTTTTGATGTAAATATAAAAAATTGTGTGTTTTATCATAATTACGGCTGTAATTTCTCAAAAACATCCTATTTGCGTTTGATTAGATTTTTTTCAACTTTGCCAAATAAGGGGAGATAACTCAGATAAAGAAATTTTTAGAATAGAAAGTGTTGTGAATTTACCTATTTTGATATGTAGCAAGAAAACAAGTTCGTTGAACTCATTTTTTCTTGTTCTTATCTGAAAGCATCTTATAAGAGCTATCTTCTCACATTTTATCTTAAAGTTCTATAAGTAGTTTTCTTTTTATCACACAAAATTTGATTTTTTCCATGCATAATCTATACAAAATCTCACAATTTTGCACAACCTCTAGCGTGAAAAAAAGTTCGGTGACCCATACTTTTTATTATATTTTTGAAAAAAGCATGAAAAAAACTTCATTTTGAAAAATTATCAAAAAATTCTATCAATTTTAATTAAGACGCCCAGCCATCTTAAAGTATGACGTTTTGTAGATCAGCGTTCAACGTCTCAAGGTTGATGACTTAAATGAAGGCATAAGCAGCTCTTTTTTTATTTTCGACTGTTAGGAAAGTCGCCGAATGTGAGTCATAGAGATGCTAATTCAGCAATTGAGGCGACGGCAGAAATTTTTTGTTTAAAACTTAATAGCTTAAAAGACTGAAGATTTGGATACTTCATGCCTTGTAAAGTTGTTTTATGTTCTAACGTTTTAGTCTCTCATTTGTCCATTTTGTTTGATTTAAAAAAAAAAACTATAATTAAGAATTTTGATTTAAAAAAGAGAGTCGAAAGATACCAAAGGGACATTCAAACTCAAAAGTCGAAAAATAAAGTGACAACGTCATGGCTAAAAATGAAAAAGACCAACAGACAAACAATGATACACAATACACAACATAGAAAACTAAAGACTGAGAAACACGAACCCCACCAAAAACTAGGGGTGATCTCAGGTGCTCTGGAAGGATAAGTAGATCCTGCTGCACATGTGGCACCCGTCGTGTTGCTCATGTTAGTAAGTAATTTACTGACATTCCAAACATTTGATAAATCCTCCCATTCGTTAGAAGATAACTAATGAATATTAGCAATACACTGTGTATATGTATAGAGCACTCCACCGTGCTCAATATGCAAAATTTAATTTTTATAACATTTTTAAAAGCGTGGCATGAAAAAAAGTTTCCTATTAAATTTTTCTCAAGACCATGGATTTTTATTTCTATAATCACAAACAAAAACAATCGGAATCTGGTTTTCATCTTGTTGAGGAACAGAAAATTTGGCTGTTCTCCAAACCAAGGACTCAGCACCTCGATACGTATTACTGTAATATCTTGGTCCGTTTGCTGTTATTCTAATAGCTCCTTGAGTATTCCTGTATCGAAAGAAACGGCGCTTTTGACGACCCGGGATCAAAATCATTGGTTGGCAAGCAATTCCACATTCATCAACCGCAGTGATAAAAATTCTCGTCGCCTTTTGTTCCGGATTTTTGATACCGATATACGAAATTTCCGTTGAAACTGTGCGTTTGTTGTCCAAAAAGACTGTGTCTTCGTATATGCCATAGTAATTTAATCCATATGAAGAAACTCTAACTTTGAACAAACCAGATTTATCGTAACTGCATGATTTACGTTTCGAACGTGCATTGGCTTGCAAATTAGAAGTAAACTCTAATGGTTGTCCATCAGAAAACACATCAGTATTATTCAATTTACGTCCTTCCAAGTCAACTGGATACGACGCATAAATTATATCACCATGTCGTAAATTGACAACTTTGACTGGAACAAATACCCATAATTGTTTTCCTACTTTACAATCTAACCTAAAAGAATTCTGAACTGGATTTCCACCACATGCTTTTTGAAATCTTGGTATTTTCAATTCGTCAATAGAAGGCATTATTTGAGGAAGACGTTGCGTATTGATGTTTGAAGGAGAACCAGACCTTCCCCCTGTCACGACATGGCGTGTTCCTTTCAGCCCAGGCCTACCCTTGAACCCATGTTGGCCTTGACGTCTCTGATTTCCAGGTGTCCCCGGTCTGAATCTAATACGTGGCGTATTTGCAATAGTGATAGGCTGCTTCTTCAATGTTTTAAGTGCAGAGAAAAATTCCTCAGCTGTTATTTTTCTACCAGACAAACCTGCAGAAACTGGTTGACCTCTAGAGCTTGACGGAAAACCAGGTGCAAAACTCCTCAAACCTGGAAATCCTGGTTGACCTCTAGAGCTTGACGGAAAACCAGATGTAAAACTCCTTGGCGGAAGAGGTTTTCTTCTCGATGTTGGACTTCGTCTATTGTGCACTTCAAAAACATCTTCAGGAGTAAAGCTGGGTAAGGCGGCCTCTGATCCTTCAGAAACACACCTTTCCCTAAATATATCACATTTAAGCCACTTGGACCCACACTTTGGTGCCTGAAAGCTACACGATGGTTGAGGTGCACAAGTATAATAAGTCTCGGTCCAGAAATCTTTATATCCATCAGCATTTGTAAGATTAACATTATTGAAAGGTGGCAGATTTGCCATTAAGCTAGAGGATTGATGATCCAGCGTGTGCAAAACATCGTCTGGGTAGATTTCCGGATTTTTGCCTTTTTGTTTCTCACGATCTCTATAAAGCTCCCATATGCAATCAATAAAAGCATGATGCATGTAGAAAATAGGATCAAAAGGAGCAAGGTCTAAGTTGTTCATATCGCCACCAACCCACCCATGAACACCCTTATGGATATCTTCTAAACGGGTCAAGAAATTTGTGTAGCTAATATTGTCACTTAAAAGCGATATCAAAATACTTTTTGTAATAAGCAACGACGATTTACCATTTTTGACTGATCTATTAATTTTTCTTATCCATCCTCCGAAAGGCACTGATACAGTTTCATGTGCTTTTCCAATAAACTTTTCGGTAAAAATAACAGTATCAGCCGGATTTTCCATTGCACTATCTAAGGTGGAATCCCAGTACGGAAGCATGACATTTGGGTTCTTTTCTTGCAATGCAAGTTCGTACCTAAATATGGAACAGAAAGAAAAATTGGCATAATTGACTTAAGAATATTTGAAGATAAGTCTAGGTTTAATAAACATTACATAACTGTTTCTTGTGCAAAGGTATCGGAACGATTCAACTGTCGAGTCACCAAATAAATGATAATGATAAAAAAGATAAAATTAATCACAAAGAAGCAAGCCCAGAACAACAGACTACATCAACCATCAACACCCTAATTGCCCTAAAAAACACCACAGATGGACATAAAAATACAAACATCAACGAATAAAAAATGGCCAAAATAGACTGAATTAGTAAAAGCACAAATTGCGCAGGGTTAAACCAATTTACGTGCACCCTAACCCCTTTGCCTATTTAGACACTCTGTCGTAAAACCAAAGCATCACATAAATGCAGTTACAAACATGGTAACCGCTTATTTAAATCAAAATGGGTTCACACTGCCACTAAAGAAAACAATTTAAATGGACACTATTTGTGAGGCGACGGCAAGTCTTAAAAATCATTAAACCATCAGAAGATGTACATATTTTAACTGAATAAGTGAGTATATCACGCTTTTAACCCTTTCAGCTGAAATTTCCTAAATTTAGAATTATCATTTTAATGTTTTAACTCTCTTAACGACATGACAATAAAAGGTATGACGAGAAATACCATCAAGTATGATTTATGTTTACGAGAAACATGATATTTAATTGATAATCGAAATGCACCTTTGGTGAACTAAAATTCGTACCGTAAAAGTATGTACTTCAACTTGGTCGCTACCTATTCTAGTAGATTGCTACTTCTTCAGGGAAAGTTGACCATAAATGATTTTGGCTATACTTTTTAGGTATTTTTTGTCATATTCATGCACCCTTCCTTTGAATCTTTAGGATGAGCGTTCCTGATGAAGGTTAATCCAGAAAAGCGCATCGGACGCAAGAAATGTATTTAGTGTTATTTTTATTTACTAGCACTGGGTCGATACTACTGATGGTGGCCTGTAAGTCTCCGATGGTAATATCAGTTCAGTGGGCAGTGTCTAGGTACTGACATGAATTTATAACTGACTGTGTGTTTGTTTATTCCACATTGGCTAAAGGTATAGGGGAGGATTGAGATCTCACAAAACGTGTTTAACCCCGCCGCATTTTATTTGCGCCTGTCCTAAGTCAGGAACCTCTGGCCTGTGTTAGTCTTGTATTTTTTTATGCAAGAACCCCCTGAGGGGTTCATGCCTTTAAATTGGTGAGTTTTGGTAGCTTCTATGTGTCATTCGGATATTTCCGGAAACAAGATTCTCGGAACTTCTCGAAAATGTTCGATCATTATACAGGTAGTTATCTATGCATGTCTTTGATACGGTCCCTCTATGGATAGGCTACCACGTGACATTTTATATTTTAACAATCAAAGTTCATTCGGATAGTAAAGAAATAAAGACTAGGTTGCAGTCAAAAAATTATTTATATGTTAGAACCTATTTGCCTTTTGACAAAACATATGTGTTTTAATAATGCGAATGTTTATTAAATATCAAGTATAATGATAACGCTATTATATAATTCATGCTTTGAGACGGTCCCTGTACGTGTTATGTGTGTAGTTTTAATACAGCGTGCTGTTGTGTATCGTGACAATAAACCTGGGAATCGTTTATTAATAAATAATGTCCCAGAATAACTGATTATTTCTGGGCGTTTATCACGTGATATTTTGTATTTCAATCATAGCCTGGGAAGATTTCGGAAAGCATGCAGAAAATTAACCTGAGACCACCATTATAAATATTTATCTTAGGTCGGAAACACAGTGCTCGGAAAGCAGAAATATAATTAAACAAAAGGATTTTTCTGTCAAAAATATTTAATTCCATTAATAGATACTACCAGACCAAGAGAATATTCATTAAAATTATCAAGTTTAAACTGAGACTAAATTTATCCTTGCTAGAATATAATTAAAGAAGCTTATATATAAGTGGATAATGTCCCACAGGATTGAACAGTAAATACATTTATGAAAGTTATATGCAAGATATGAGCACCAATGAGCAGGGATGCGTATACATAAGTTAGTATCTAAATTTTAAACGGTAGTGAATGAACAAATACTTTCATGGTTTCAATTCACAAGGATTTTAAATCCTTGTATCTCACAAAAACAAAACCGTAATTAATATTAAACAAGAGGCTCATGAGAGCCTGCTATCGCTCACCTGTAATTTCAGTTTCAGGCATTTAATTTTTTTATAGATCTTACTTTGCTGAACAATTTTGTCATTTACACTTTCTCTCTTTCTATAATAATATTAAACCCAATACATAATAATATTAAAGATAATAAACCAAAACTGTCAAATTTCCTATAAATTAACTATTTCTGGACAATAACCCAACAATAAGTTGTCTTATTGGTCTAAAGATTACTTGACAGGTAGATCTAAACCTGTTTAACACTTTCACCTTTGTCAGTTTTGCTCTTACTGCTTTAGTTTTTGAGATGAAAGCCAAAAACTTCATTTGACCCCTATGTTCAATTTTTAGAAACTGCCGCCATGTTTTTGAATGGATCAAATCCCCGAATACAATCTATAAACTAGATACCCTAAGGAACATTCAATTAAAGTTTTTGAGTATTTGGTCAAGTAGTTTCAGAGAAGAAGATTTTTGAACATGTAATTAAGACTTTCACAAAAAATGTAAAAAAAAAGGTTTGAAGGGCAATAACTCCTTCAGGGGTCAATTGACTATTTTGATCATTTAACTTATTTGTAGATCTTACTTAGCTGAACATTTATAGCCATTTATACTTTCTTTCTGTCTATTATAATATTAAAGAAAATAACCTTAAACAGTAAAATTTAATAAAAATAAACTATTTCCAACAGTTACCCAACAATGGGTTGTCGAACTTGTCTGACAATTTCATAACAGATAGATCATGACCCATTTATCTCTTAAACTCCCTTTCACTTTTGCTCTAACTGCTGTAGCTTTTGAGATATAAGCCAAAAACTGCTTTTGTCTCCTATGTTCTATTTTTCGCCATGGCGGCCTTGTTTGTTGATGGATCAAAACTTTGGATACAATTCATAAACTAGATACCCTAAGGAACATTCATTTATACATGTCTCCGTCTTTCCACCAACAATACGGTAAGGTTCACGTTTAATGGTCGCACATTTTCCCAAATTTTGAAACTGATATCACTTGAAAAACCGGGATGCGGTATTCAGTACGTAGATGAAACTGGACGATATTTATCTAAAAGCACACAAGAACACCTTTATCGTTTTAAAAGACCCCATAAATTCAAAAGTATCATTTATCAACACCTTAAGAAGCACAATCATCCTTTTAAATATTTAACAGTTCAACCTTTAGAAGTAGTTAATAAGCAGTCTGGGGAATCTCATTCAAAATTTGTACGATCACGAAAAATAATTGAATTAAATTGGATTAAAAAATTACAGACAGCCTATCCTCTCGGTCTTAACGACAATATCATGGGAATTGGTAATATATCTAGAACAGATTCTGTTAACATTTTGGATATAGTTTCTAAAACAGTACGTAAAAACCGTTCTCATGGGCGTAGAATAAATCGCAATCAAAGAAATTTTCGTAATAACATTACAAATATTTCGGACCTAACTTCTATTTAAAAAAACAACGGTAGACACTATCTATTAAGCAAGCTCTGTTCTTTGCCTGTTAATAAATTACATCGAATTTTGGAGGAATGCAACACAATTCCATATTGCAGTCCTATGTATGAAATCGTCCAAACTATAATTGCATATTGCTATTCTAAATTGTTTCCCAAAATTGATCGCCCTGAAGATCACGAAAAACATTTTATTAAAATTAAATATGTCAATAAAGGTTTTGATTTTGTAAATATTGCCGGTATTTTTAATGATAATTCTGTTGAAGAACAAATTCCTGGCTATTTTGATAAAACTGAACTCCCTCTTATTTGTTATGTTTACAAAAAATCTACCCGGAAATATGTGTTTAATTACAGCGAAGTGTGTAAAGATGTTAATATCAGTGACAACACACCTACCTCATGAAATTGCAGTACATCCGAATACATTTATACATTTATAGCCCCAGTTCCCATGTTATAACAGGAGACCTTAACATCGTTCGTGACCGAGAGTTGAAATCATTCCTCAGTAAAGGACCTAAATACCGTCCTCCATCAATTATTAATTGGAATGAGTGTCGTAACATCATACACGACTCACTCCGTACTTACTGCTCTAAATGGATAAAACCAGAAAAAGCTGACAAGAAATTATTAGATTCTTTTTTTAATTCGGTAATGCAAATAGTTGATATACGTATTCAACATTTTAAAGATCATTTTACTCCTAACAACAACCATAATAGCCCAATTTCCCGTATCATACATAAACTAAAAGAACTCGCTAAGGAATATATTTTTTTCCCGGCTGATAAGGCTGCTAATAATATCATTATTGCTTGACGTAAATTTTACATTGACGTTCTACAAAAGGAAATCACGAATTCACCAACAGCCGCCCAACTGACTCCATTTTCGGAAAATGACATCTGTAACAAACAAAAACTTTTAGCTACCTCTTCACAAACAGAACCAAATACAATGAAAGTTCCAACTATGAACTAGCTTCCGAAGCTGCACAAGACTCCTTACAAATCAAGATTTATTTCGTCTTCAACCCATTGTTCCACTACTAAACCATCTATTCCACTTACTAGTACACTTGGTACAATCAAAAACCTGGTAATAAATTGTTCAAATAAGGCCTTTGAAAATAGTGGAATTAATTACTTTTGGAGTGTCAAAAATTCGTTGGAAGTACTTGATAAATTGCATGCTTATATTGGTGATTTCGAATCTGTTCAATGTTTTGATTTTTCTATCCTATATACCACGTTGCCTCATAATCTTAATAAGAAAAAATTCACACACCTTATTAAATGGGCATTTAAAAAGTCGAAATGCGAATATCTATG